TTTTGTTCAAGAACACTTTCTTAAATGTGTTTAAGGGCTTCAAATGTCAAAGTTAGCTAAAACAGTTTGGTAACTATTTACTCCCATCATTTTCTGCTTCGCTTTGCACAAATATTTTCAAACAAAAATATTAAGAGATAAAGGAGTGAGAAGCTCCAGAATCAAACAAAAATGTCACATCCTTACCAGCAGCTTTGCCCTTCCCCTTCACAAGATCAGAAGAAGTCGAACCCTCAGCACCCGTCAAGGCAAATACTCTGCCAGCAGTAGTGGGTCTATCACCCCTCTGAGCACCACTCCTCTGAGCATCGCCCCTCTCTGGTCCGTTTCGGGTAGGACAGTTGAACGACTCATGACCCATCTAATGGCACCTGAAACACCGGCTCTCCGTGTGAGGACAATCCCTGATAAAGTGGGGTCCAGCACACCTGTAACATCTGAGAGTGACACCTCCACCCTGTCTCCCTCCACTAGTAGTACTAGAAGGTTGCCTAATGACGGGACTCCCTTGCTGATCCACGTTGCATCCACGTGGTATCCACGTATGCATCTACATGGCATCCACGTGGGCAAAAGTTAACTCCGTTTAAATAATTTGGACGGAAGTCCCAAATTGAAACCAATTAATTTTTAAGGGACCAAATTGAAACCAAATAATTAATTTGGGACCAAATTGAAACCAAAAATAAAAGTGGGACTAAATTGAAACAAACAATTATTATAAGGGACCAAATTAGTGTTTTAGCCTAAATATGAAAGATAAACAACTACAGCTATCAGCACATCAGTCAGCTAAACAACATCAACTTAAAATATCACAGCATTCAGCAATAACAGCACTGACTTAGCGGCTATAACAGCACCACAATAGTGGCTAATAATAGCACCGGCATAGTGGCAATAGTACCACACTAGTGGCTAATAACAACATCGACATAGCGGCTACAGCAGCACCACAATAGTAGCTAATAACAGCACCGACATAACGACAATAGTACCACACTAGTGGCTAATAACAGCACCGACATAGCGGCTACAGCAGCACCACAATAGTGGCTAATAATAGCACCGGCATAGCGGCTATAGTACATAGTTCAGCACAACACAGCAATATCATCAATTACAGCTCAACTCAGCATAAAGCAACATTTATCAGCAATTTCAGCATAATTCAACATCATCATCCGCGTCCGGCGCTCTCATAATCGTGCCCGGCGTGGCACGACCAGAGAGTACCAGGGAACCAGCGCGCCCGCCGCAATTCCCATTGCGCCTGGCGAGAGGGAAGGCAGAGACCTCACAAGGTCTCATAAGCCCGGCGTGCTAATCCCGCGCTCGGCGTAAGAAAGCAGAGGCCTCCCCAAGGTCTCACGCCCAGCGCAATATAAATTGCGCCCGGCGTCACCTCTGGCAGAGACTCCCAAGGAGCCTCCACGCCCGGCGAGATAGGGTCACGCCCAGCGCTGTCCCACCACGTCCGGCGTAGGCCATCCAGAGACTCACATCCTCAAGCTCGCCCGGGGCATTCACCATTGCGCCCGGCGTGCTTGCCCAAATGGAGTCTCTGATGGTCACACGACCGGCGCGAAGAACGGCGCCCGGTGTGATACCCAGCAACAACCCTCAAACTTCCGAAAATCTCTTCAAACCCTGCAAAAATTCACATTTCCAGCACATGCAATCCAACCAAAGCACTACATTTTCAACCAGCAGCACAAAAACACCACCTTTTCACACATGCAACCATTAAACGATCAAAACCCAAATTTCACCCAAAACCCCCGAAACCCCAAAAATGAGTTTCTTCAATCTCGGCCAAGAATCAGCCATCCACAAACATCAAATGAGTACTAATACTCTTTTACAACCAAAGAACACACATAAACTAGCTTCCCTTACCTCGGTGAAGAATCCGAGCTTCCGGGAAGAGAGCAAACTTGAATGGAGAGAAAAGGAGAAGAATGAGAAGCTTGAACGACGAAGGAGGGAAAAAGAGAACTCCAATTACTCAGCTAGCAACCCGAATCTACTCCACACCCCCACCTTGAGACAGAATTTTGAGAAGAAGAACAAAAGAGAATTTGAGAGAGTGAAATGTGCAAGTGAGAGTGCTTGAGAGAGAAAGTGAGTTGGGGAAAAAAACAAATCCGTACGGGGGTCTCACAATTACGAGAATCTGAAAAAATACATTACAAAAACTGCTAAGATTTACTTTTTTTTTTTTCAAACTCTCGTAATTATTTTGTTCATAAAAGTATATTGAAAGTGAGTATTTAATTAATTTTATTATTGCGTAATGTGCTTCCCACCAATGATAGGTCCAATTTAACAAATTCATGATCGTTACGACCCACGTATGACCAAACAAAGCGGCGCTTAGTAACTAACAGTAGAGGAATTTACTATTTAGTTGTCTTCGACACCTACAATGAAGACGAGGAGCTATTCCTACTCTTGTCTCTCTAGAATGTGCATGTCTTAGGTCTCTCTCTCATTTGCTTCTTCAGCTAATCTCTAATGGCGACAACTCCTATCACCTGCAACCATACTCATCATGCACTTCCCTGCTTCCTCACACGCTGCAATTCCACTACCATCACATTTTCTCGCACAAAATATCCCCCTTCTACTTCTCTACTCTCTCAGTTTCGCGTATTTTGCCAATCCAAGGTAATTCTTTCCTCTACCCTTTTCTGCCAACATGCTCTTTTCGTTAAAAGAGAATTGGAAAATGCTGGCCAGTGTCTAGAACTCTAATTAAAGAATCAAAACTAATTTTTTACTTATTATGAAGTGTTAGAGTACACTCCCCCATGCAACTTTAATGTGATTTTCAATAAAAATTTCTCTGTTTTGAATCAGTGTCAGATGATTTGCAAAGACCCTGAGAAAAGTTATTAAGAAACATTATTTTGATCGAACTTTTTTCACATCTGATGAAAAAGTCAATTGTTATTATCATGTAAGCTTATGAGAAATCATGAATATACGTTATAATATCAGCTGTTCATGTTATCATCAAACTATTGATATAATTCAGCAAAAAAATCAAACTACTGATATTACTTCCTTTACTCTTGTTCACCTCTAGAAGAGCTAAATTCACATTTTTTTCCCCTTTAAATGCCATGGTAATTTGTTGGGGGTATAAAAATTAGATTTTGGTGAGAAATTTTCATTCAGAAATTGTTCTTATCTAATTTTATTTTCATTAATTTACTCACATGTTTTAGCATTCGTTATGCACGGTCACATAATTCAATCAAAAACTATCATGTAAGGTAAATTTATTAGTTTTTATAATAATTTCCGATCTTCCCATTCCCCTAATCGTTTCGGGCAGAGAGTGCTTGAGAGTTCAGTTCTGGTATGAGTTTTCCGACCCCCGTGAAGGTACGTAGCTTCTGTATTTATAGAGCCAATCAAGAACGGTTAATTTCACGCATGTACGCCACTAGGGGATAACCGCTATCCACTATGCTTGTTACGTGACTCTAAATTGTAACTTCCCATAACCGTTCACCTCACGCTTCAACTTTACTCGATTCGACCCTTAATAACCACCTTAGTACGCCTTAACTGTTAAGATCCCTTCAATAACAACTCTCCGGCTCTCCTGTGACCCCGTGGGCCTTGCTGTACCAGTTGTAGCTCTATCAGCATCCATCCGAGCAAAATAGGCATTTTGCTGTTGCATAGCCATAGCCATCATCTCCATGGCACGGGCTATCTGCTCATTAGTTCTAGTCATTGTCTACAAAAGCAATAACATCTTTAGTATATAATAACTAAACCAAATAACAATCAACATCATAGCAAAACAACACAGCAATCAGCACAGCAAACAACACAGCAAGACAGCACAACACAGAGCCCAGCACAACAAAAGCCTAAAGGAACCACCCCCACAGAGTGTCCACTAGACTCAACTTGGCTCTGATACCACTAAAGTGTAATGACCCAGCTGTTCACTGTACACAATATAGCACACCGGAAACATCAGACAGAAAAGAACAAGTATATAAATATAGGATCTAGAATATATGTATATACAAGGTCTCAATCCGGCTAGAGTTAGAGTGTACAAAACAAAATACATCCAGCACAGTGCTAAGTAAGTAGCTGAGTACATCAAAGGACTAAGACTCCATCTGCTAGCTGCAGACTCTCCTCAGCAAATACCAACCTAACCCTGCCCTGCTCCCATACATAGTATGATCATTGCAGTCCAAACCACATGGAAACAACAAAGGGTAAGCTAGTGAAAAGAATCAACATACATATGATAAATATGAAGGCTAAAACACTAATTTGGTCCCTTATATTAATTGTTTGTTTCAATTCCACTAGATCTGTGAACTTGAGAAGATCTTCACTGTGCTGGGATGTTCTCAAGAGAGGAGGCTGGCATACGCTATTTACATGTTGGTTGGGGAGGCTGAGCATTGGTGGAGGGGTACTCACCATATGTTGACCGCTAGAGGAGTGGTTGTTGATTGGGAGTGCTTCAGGAGGGTGTTCTTGGAAAAGTACTTCCCTTGAGTTCCATGATCCAAGGAGTCTGGTCTTCCCTCTTTGATGCTCCAAACTCAATCCATGCAAGGAGGGTTGCCATCAAATAACAATTTTACTTATCGAATTCTAGGACCACTTATTTTAGTAAATTATACCTATAATTATAATAATATTTACATGTTTTATATGTTTCTTGTTCAAATATAATTACATAAAGATACATTAAATTAACAACTTTGAATATTATAAAAAAATAAATAAATAAGACAACATCTAGCCATAGATCTAGCATGACACATATTTTTCATTATTAAGACATTAATATCCATTATCTCTAAAACGTATCTATATGCTCATAGATGTTGAGCGTACTGTCATGTGTGTTTTGATAAATACACATTGATCCTAAGGACAACACACTTGTACTATTTGTCTAGGACAGTGCTGTATTTTATCACATCAATGCAATATTTTTTTTGTCTAGGTACGATGGCAAGTGGAGCAATCAATGTGGTAAGAGGCTCAAGGTCATCAGTTGAAGAGCTATTACAAATATACAACCACTCTGAAAGGTTTGTTGATAAACACCTCAAGAATCTTGAATAGTCTGATAATGTTGCTTCAAGATGATCTTTGCACATCCACATATTGTGATTAAGCTTGTTTTAATTGATTGTCACATTTTTTTAAAGTGCTCAATCCGAACTGTTGAACTCAAAAGAGAATTTGTTGATCTGTGCTATTGTTTTGTAGTGTTGCACTAGTGGTGGATAACCCTGAAATGTTTAACCGGGTTGCAAACACATTTTATTCAAGGACTAGCATGAGGTTTGTTGTTTTGCTTTGGGGAGAAAAATCAGACCTGGTTGGTCAAGAAAACAAGCACGTGCCAGTGTTTACTTTCATGGAAGTCATAAATTTGGGACGAGAGAGTCGCCAGGCATTGTCTAATACTCATGATGCTGGTAAGTATCAGGCTCTTACTAAGAATTAGGTTTCAAGTATAGATAAATATGATAAATTTTGGTTTCAGTTATTTATTTATTTATTCTTTTTTTAATGCTCATAGATTTAATATTTTAAAAATGAATCTTAATTTTTTAGTGCTTAGTACGTATGTGAACCACTAAAATCAACTAGTAATAACTAGTATTGGGTAGATATACAAGAACTTAGGAAGTCACCGTAATCTTTCTTATTAATAAAAAAAATATTTTATTTCAATTGTTACTTTAAGTAGTACAAGATAACATGACATGTACACCATGCCATCAATAAATGGGAATTAAAGACCATTTTCAAAAATCAAAACTGTTAAATTTATTTTGACCTAAACGATTAAAACATATTAAGATAAGAATTATGTCCAGCCCATGCCCCTTTCTGTTTCTTCTTCTTCTTCTTTTTCCAGTGAGATGAATGTTCAATAAAAAGTGAACATAGACTGATGTTATTAGTTTCAAAAATGCAATCTTCTTGTTTTGTTCTATTTGATAAAAGGAGAATTTCTATAAAACAAAAAATAGACAAAGATAGAAACAGATGATACCAATTACCACAGCAACACAGAACTGAAGGCAACAAAGTGGTTATCAAGCCAACAGGTTTCTCTAATTGTCTGTTAAACATACCATTTAAGAAACCCATTAGCTATGACCCATAGAAAAATGCCAGAAGAAAATTTCGTCCTTTTTAACTAAGAAGACATCAATAATCAATGTCTGTTTGAAAATATTTGCATTAGCTCAAATCAGCTACACAAGAGTTTGACAATGAAGCATGAAGTTGTCATGTATCATTTTTTTTAATAAAAAATTTAAATTAGGATAAAACATAATTCTATTTAAAGATAAAGTTAATCACCAATTTATTTTTGAATTTTTAGTAAATTACGGATTGTTTATTTCATCTTTAATGTAAGTCACAATCATCTTTAATATAAGTCCGCATGGATATAAATTACAATGAAAATCAAATTAAATCCTAAGTTTTAACTGACAGCAACAGCGAAAGGACTTATTCAACTATTGTACCTAACAATCTTCAATTATTATTTTTATTCCTTCCATGATGACAACTCTAAATTTTTCAATGGTATGATATTGTTCACATTTTAGAAAAGAAAAAAAAAAGAGAAGACAAATATGTCTGTATTTATTTAATTATCTAAAGAAGCAGTAATCAAGTGCTATTACATATCTACTTTCTATATTTATTGCAGAACAGCGTTATACTTATGAAGCAATAAACTCTGATAACGTTGCTACTATCATGTATACAAGTGGAACTACCGGCAATCCCAAAGGTGTTATGCTAACCCATCGGAATCTTCTGCATCAGGTTTCATTACAAACCTACCGTAATTAAAGTCACAATAAATTAATTACTCGTGAGTTTAGCACTTTTTTTTTCCAGTAAATTCTCTTACAAAGGATCACTGTCTAATATTTTTCAAATAATTAAAGGAGTTAATTTCATGTGTACAATGTGACAGGGCAATATTTTTTAAACAATAACTATTTAGTGTAGGAGTTAAAAAAGTAGGGTGT